ATCGTTTTGGCTCATCGTTTTGGCTCATCGCTTAGGTCATCGCTTCGCACCATATTTTATCACTCATATATCATCGCTCATCATTCATCTCATCTTTCATCGCTCATCATTTATCTCATCTTTCATCGCTCATCATTTATCTCACCTCTAATCTACCCATGTTTTACCCAACACATTTTGTAGATATAAAATACATATACACTTTAGATCATTTAAAACATGTATAAAACGTTTCATCCAGTATAGACAACAAGTATTCAGACAGTATACACACATAGCACGTAATTTATATAAAATATTTCATATATATGTGTAAGATGAAAGTAACTATGCACTCACTTGATAAGGTGGTGACTCGGTACTCAGACATCGCTTCGTTTACTTTAAAATAATTTCCTTCGACGAAACCTAGTATTATTACCACTAGATTTTAGTCTAATATTTACCTTGACTAATTATTAGTCTTCTTATTATTATTATTATTATTATTATTATTATTATTATATAAGCGTTTAAACAATACTTTCCAACCACCATGTACAGACAGGGGCCAGCATAAAACACCGGAGGGCAGGACCATTTTGGCATATAGCACTTCTGAAATCCAACAACCATATGCGGCCCTTTAAACCAGATTCTCCGTACCGCGAGTAGTTAAAAAGATATTATAACGACACTTATATAAGTCATAATAATAGCTCAAATATTTATTATAAGTTCATAATAACAATACTAATTTTAAATATAAACTATATTTAAAATAGGGTAAGCATAACTTACTTACAAGGGGGTTTTAGCTCGGAGTCGGGCTCTGCAGGGGCAGAACTTCGTCACTGAATCTTTCTAAGAAAGATTCGTGCAGCGTTTCAGCACTCACCTTACTATACTAAAACTACAGAAAGAGAAGTCGAATCACGAGGGACCGAAATGCTCGGGGGAAAAGAGAAAGACTCTTGAATCAAGAGAATGGTGCAAGAAATATGAGAGCCCAAGCCTCTTATTTATAGTAATTGAATTTACAAAAACTACCCTCCATAATTACTTAATGACCTTATAGTTATATAAACGACTAAACACCCCTTCATAATACTACTTTAAATAGATTTAACGATATTTGTACTAAACTAATGTCGAAAGTACTCAACACTAGTCTTATAATAACCGCATCGTCGATACCTTTCTAATGATATATACATTTGTATATATATGTGTGCGTATATATGATTTATACTTTATTTTAATACGTAAATATGCTATTATAATTTGTAACTCGTTCATACGAACTCCATTTTTGACGTTCTTTATATCTACGCGTTGGTGTTTACGAGTACTACAACTTTCATTTAGACGCCGTCAGCTAATTCTCATTCTATCTCAGATTTACAAAACTGTATCGAATTTATCGCGCTCGAAGAGTAGGGACCAAGTTTCGTCCATATCTTTAACATACGAACTCTACTCTCGACATTATTTATATCCACGCGTAGGTAAAAACAATATCTAAAACTTTCATTTAGACTCCGTCGGCTAATTCTCGACCGATCTTAAATTTAACAGTAGGAGGAGATTATACTGTTAAATATCCGCGTAAAATTCATAACTTCTACATACGGACTCCGTTTTCATCTGTCTTTTTACCGTTGAGTTCCTATTAATGAGATCTTCAACTCTCATTCAGGTCGCATAGGCCAAAAACCGCTCGAACTAAAATTCGAGTTTCGGGTCGTGCACTGCTATGCCAAATCTTAGAAAATTCATAACTTCCTCATACGAAGTCAAATTTGGGCGTTCTTTTTTTGTATGTTCTCATTTTAAAGTATACTACAAGTTTTGTTTAGAGCACTAAGGCTAAAAAGTCCTCTACCGTAAATTCACTATTTACATCTCCCGGTGCTGTGTCGGTTTTGCCGTAAAACTTCGACGGGCCATAACTTCTTCGTTATAACTCGGATTTCGGCGTTCTTTATATGTACGGAACCCTTGTAACATATACTACAACTTGGTTAAGATTAATCCTTCTAAATAATCTTCCATCAAAAACTCATTTTTGATGCTCATCGTCTCTAAATTGACTAGCCCGGATCTGCGGGCGTTACAGTTCCCTTGCTACTCGTAGTCGTGATAACGCGTGTCAATTCGTCGAGTCCCTCCTCAGTCTCGTTGAGTTCTACCTTATTCAGAATCGGGACAAACCGACTCAACTCGTCGAGTTCCCCTATGGACTCGACGAGTTCCTTAGTCTGTTTGGGCCATCTAAACGGATTAAGCCCCTGCTTTCCAGATCTGAGCTTCATACTTCATCTACACACTGAAAATGTCCTTTTAAGGGTAAAGTTTCCAACTTTACCCGTTAATACCCTTATTTGAAGAATCTAGATAAAACCCTAACTCTTTAGGACCTAGATCTTGGTCCTCAAGTCATCCATACTCCAAACTAAGGCATACAAACACAGATCTAGACCCCTAAACATTACATGAACACGTAAAGCTTCCTCCTTTCACTCCATGCATGGCCTTTTGGAGCTTAAAAGGCCAAAATGACATCTTATAGTTAGCATGGGGCTTTATTGGCCATAAAGTTTGCACCTTTATGCCATGAAAGCCCTCCATGCTCCCAGATCTGATATACCCACTTGGGACGTCCATATCCCAAAGATCAAGCTTCTTGGACCAAAAACCCAATAAGTGAAAATAAAGAGATTTAAGAAGCTACTAAGCAAGTTTGAGACTTGATTACCAGAAACTGATGAGGAAGAAATGGAGTCTCTTGATCTACTATCTTCTCCTTAAATCCTCAAGCTTCTCCTTTTTGTTTGTGGTAATGTTAAAATTTACCAAATAAGGAAAGATTCTCAGCACCCAAGTTTCAATTGGATAGAAACTTGGAATCATGCAACTTGTATTGTATGATGAATGAGAATTTTCATCTTTGGAAAATTAAGACTAATTCCTTGTTCACATGAAGATGTGAGTCCAGTGAAGGACTGGGAGAGCTGATGCACTTGGTTGTGTGCTGGTTAGGTCCACCACAAAGATCGATACTTCAAAACACACAAAGTTTCACTCAGAATTGGCTCACAAGCTCACAAATGCATTAGGGTTTCTGAATTTAGGGTTTGGGACTTGGAGGCTGGAAATGAGGCCAGCAAATGGGGATTAGGATGCTTAAATAGGGTGCAAAACCCCGAAATTAGGGTTTCATCCTGGCAGCCCTACTCGTCGAGTTGAGGCTCTCAACTCGTCGAGTAGGTGACTTAAAATCCCGCGTCAATTCTGGTTTCTACTCGACGAGTTTGGGGCTCCCAACTCGTCGAGTTGCTCTACAAAAGTGAATAAAATATAATTAAATGCGTACCAGGAACCAAACGTTACACCTAATCCAACAGTTCTTTATATCTCCAGAATCCTCTTGACGAGCTCTAGAACTTTCATTAAAGTATTAACAACTATTCGACCCAATACACAGTTCAAGGGTTAGATCTCTCAACCATCATTACCTCCTTCCACAAGGACTAAACTTTACCTCCTAAAGGACCAAAGCCTTTACACAATCGACTTCCGCCCCACGACCCTGAAATTAGAAATGATAGGAAACATGATGTTACAATTCTCCCCCACTTAAATAGATTTGTCCTCGAAATCAGTTCTCGCTTCCACTTCTCGACACTTTTGCTAGCCTAGAAATTTTGGTGATACCACGTGTCCTGAAGAAAACGTCTTCATACAACTTCTTTAAATCATGACGAAAAGAACCCACTTCCTTACTCGGAACCTACAGATTCCAAAATCCGACGCAACCCTCACCTCAGCTAGACCGACCGAAAATCCCTAGATTTGATCGGTCCAAAAGCAAACCGTTTTTGTTTGATATATAAAGTTAAAATATTAGTTGAATTAGAAATATAATGTTAATCAAAATGAAGAGTTTCGTATATACCTTTATTAAACATCAAAATATCATATTTGCCCAACTTAATTTCTATATATCATAGTTACCCTTACATAAAAAATTTAAGTATCATATATGCAATTCTTAAACATCAAAAGTATCATATTTACATTTTTTAAACACACACACACAACATATATGCACTTCTTAAATATCAAGATATCATATATGAACTTATTAAACATCAAAATATCAATGATAATATCTAAAATATCTTCCATATACAACATGCAATATTCAACAATAATAAAAAACTAAGCAATCAATACATACATTCCATGGAGATGGCTGGAAATGAAATATTTTGTTTGTCAAGAAAACGAAATTCCAACGATTAAGAAGTAGACATTACATTATTATAGACATATGAATAATATGGTTAATTTTTTTAATTATTATAATAATTAATAAGATATAAAAAATGATTATAAACCATTAAAAACGTTGTAGAAAATGATTTGGACAAATATTATATTTTGAAGGTTTATAAAAGGTAAATATGATATTAAGAAATTAAGTTGGATAAATATGGTATTTTGATATTTATATATAAAAATTTTCTTAATCAAAATTTGAGAAGAGTTGTCCATTTTATTGTAAATTAAATTACTTAATCAAATGTTTAATTAATAAAAATATATCGTTGATTAAAACTATCACAATATTGCTTTTAAAAAGAAATTAAATCTTCGATTGATATCCTATAACTTAATGATTTTTCTAACAAATAGTTAAACCGAATAAAGGTACATTCGAAAAAAGTTTGAAAAAGAAAATAATAAACGTGTAAACGTTATTCTATAGTTTTTTAACTTATCAACCAAATAAACTAACTTTAGAAACATGCCAAACAAAACATTTGTTACATTCATTGGTTTAAATTAGGTCATTTAATTTTCGCACATCAAAGAGTGGGTCTCTTGATGCATTATCAAGAGTTTTGAAAAAAAAAGCCTACGTAAAAACGAGAATAACAAAGGGAGGGGTGTTGAATGACAATTTTGCCCTTTATGTATTTTACTTATAAACATGGCTATTAGGGTTTCTTCCATTTGTTCAGCCGACTGCAGGATAGCGCCGCTGCTCTTTCGTCACAGAGACCACATTACAGGTAATGCGAAGGCTTTCACTTGCTTCATCTGTTTAAACCTAAGCACACTTACTTTGTTCCTTTTTATTATCTTGATTCTGTTTGAATGTCTTACGAACGAATAATGTCCATTGAAGATTAGCGTATAGCTTAGTTCGTATGCCATTGAATTTAATTTAAGGGATTTGTTAGCTCGCGAGATATCAACTTGAAGGTTTTTGTGTGAAATGAGTGATTCTGTATCTGATTTGTAGTAGGGCCAAACTATTTGGATCAAACAGTTCAGGTTTCATCTGTTTATACCATAGGTTCATTGCTTTGTGGCTTCATCTTCATTCCTCGCTGATAACTATCGACACCCACAATAACCTTTGAACTGGAACCCAAAGAAAGGAAATTTAAATGGTCAAATCGAATAGTCTTTGCTAATTTTGTGCAATTATGTCTTCAATGGTGTAAACGGATTTTTCTTTCCATGCCGTTTTTCAGGTAAGAATCAATGGCACCACAGCAGAGGAAACCCCATGTCAGCAGGAACCCTGATCTAATCAGAGGTGTGGGCAAGTATTCACGCTCACAAATGTACCACAAGAGGGGTCTTTGGGCCATCAAGGCGAAAAATGGTGGTGCTTTCCCCAAGCATGAGAAAAAAGCCATTGCTGCTGCACCAACTGAGAAGCCACCAAAGTTCTATCCAGCTGATGATGTGAAGAAACCCCTTGTCAACAAACGCAAAGCCAGACCCACCAAGCTCAGGTCCATAAACTATATACTATTCACTCTAAATAGATATACTACAGTATGTATTTATGCTATTTATTTATATGTATATACTAAATATATTATGTGTATTGAATATGTATGTTAAATGTACGTGTTTAGAGCCAGTATTACTCCTGGAACTGTGCTGATCATATTGGCTGGGAGGTTCAAGGGGAAAAGAGTTGTTTTCTTGAAACAACTTACATCTGGACTGCTATTGGTTACTGGTAAAAATAAGTCTTCTTATTGAGTTTCAGATTCTTTTTTGCAATGTTTATCTGAAAGTGTACTCTACCTTTCTGTTTTTAGGTCCTTTTAAGATCAATGGTGTTCCTTTGAGGAGGGTAAATCAGTCATATGTGATTGCTACATCAACCAAGGTCGACATCTCGGGGGTGAATGTGGAGAAGTTTGATGACAAGTACTTTGGAAAGAAAACTGAAAAGAAGAAAACAAAAGGAGAAGGCGAGTTTTTTGAAGCAGAGAAAGAGGTAACTTTACTTTGACTACAAAAGATTGTAGCTTTTGTTCCATTGACATCATGTTTTGACTTTATTTATTTATTTATTTTTAATACGTGTATAGGAAAAGAGCTTGCTCCCACAGGAGAAAAAGGATGACCAGAAATCCGTGGATGCAGCTTTGATAAAGACCATTGAGGCTGTTCCTGACTTGAAAAGCTATTTGGGTGCAAGATTTTCACTCAAGGCAGGCATGAAACCACATGAGCTTGTCTTTTAGATGAAATGTCTTGAGTTAATTTTGTTTTCTTGATTATGTTTGTGTAAGCTCTAGATTTTGAGGCTGCATTCTGTCAGTTTTTGATGGTTGTCAACGATGAAATTACCTTTTTGCTATTGAATTTTGGTATCTATAATCTGCATCCTCTTCGAAACATTATAATTCCGAAATTGTTTTGTATTTGAATCACTATGCTATAGTTTGAAGATTTCTAGACTAGGGACTACGATGTTGTAATAAAAAGAAATAGAAGTAGGGTACTATACTAAACACACCCAAAAAATTATTTTGTTTCAGACATGTTTATAGAAGGGAAAAACATTTATTATGTAATTAATTAAACATTACATAGAAACTCAAGTCAAAAACATGTTAAAAAAAACAAAACGAGGAAAGATTCTTGCTTATGCTTTGATGATTTGATGCCAGTTAGAGTAAGCTATCTGTTTGAGCTGGTAGTCTCTTAAAGAAGTTGCTAGGAACCGATGGCAACTTGCTTCTAAACTTAGGGTGTCTTAACATGTATAATCCCCCACCTAAAGCCACCACCCTAACAGGAGTCACGTAAAGAACAACAGCTAAACAAAGGCAAAAAACAACAAAGAGACTTGTAGCTCGAGGGTCTCTCCAACTAAGTAAAGACCCTATCCGTTCTCCTTGTGTAGCCAAATCTCCTACCACTGTTTGAATCCTCCCAGCAATGCTTCGAATCCGGTCGTACCTCATTCGGACAACATCGGGTGGTCTTGATGTTGGAAACGTGTCAAACTCTTCATCGAGTTCGTCAGGGTGCACCGCCTCAGCCCACGAAAGTTTTGGATCCATATGAGGCGGGTGTCGGGCTCGGAACCTGTAGTTCCATAGCCCGATCAAGAACATGTAGAGACAGATAGTCGGAAGTATCAGCTCGGGATACCATAACAATATCAAAAACAAGATATGAACGAGGACTGTCGTGATCGGGTTTTTCCATTCCCGGACATTGTTGAACCACCGACTTACGGAAAATAAACTCGAAAGCAACGACATGATCCTAAAGAAGTTTGCTTTGCTTCTTCTCATGCTCCACATGTGAGAATCCACATCTAACATGTACTCAACTACCTCTTTCCGAAGGGGTGGTTCGGCTCGACCTAGACGCGCCGCCACTATGTTCATGGCTTGGTACCTTAAAGTTTCGACTTGGTTCACTGTTAACGGGTTCAAGTAATGCATCTTGGGCAATAAAGGGTGTGCATAGATGTACACCATGTTGGCTAGTGATAACGTAGTGAATCGAACCGCAAGTTGGAGCTCACCCATCTTCTTCACCCCAGAGGGGTGAAGTACGAGAAGTGGGTATGAATGTGTGTATATTCGATGAGCTTCGAGAGTTGATATCCGAATCCTGACCTTCCCGATTCTTGAATCTCGTCCCGTATCTGATTTCTCAGCTCCCAAATGACAATTGTCGAAAACACCGAGTGTGATGACTGTACACGGATCGTAGACTTCCCACGTATATTGCTCGTTCCATTTAGGGTTCAACGTGTCGAGAAATGTTCGTGTCCGAACCCATTTTTGTCCGTACTTCGCCACACAATAAGCATCGGTGGACCCTCGCCCATCATGCATCTTCATCGGAAGCAAACCTTCCGCGCCCAAAATTCCAACTTCGAGAACACCACACGGCTGCTTCCATAGTTGTTTAGCGGTCGGTCGCTGATCGCTTATATACAACGTCGATTCATCTAAAACATGGTATCCCCCTTCTAAGCAAACCCTAATATGCAATCTACTAGAAAACCTAGTTTCACCGAGTCCATACTTCTCAAGATTGAACCATCGAGAATGAACCGGCCGATGATCAAGTCGCTTCTCGAACATTGTCAACGGTAGACTCAATGTCCCGAGAACCTCATCTCTCGAAGGATGAACCCGATCCTCAACAGTGAGAACCAAATGTTCCTCAAATGGCTCGGCTGCAACAAACACAAAATCTTCATTCCATAGAGGATTCATTGTACGTACGGAACTTATCTTTGTTCTCAATGTTTGGTTTCCCACTTGTGCCTTCACAGAGACATCCGGAACACGCGACCTATCGTTCGAGATAACATCTTGAGCTTCTATCACATTCACCCGCAAATACCAAAGTTTCGGTGACACATAAACTTTCGAACGGACGTTAAAAACACCCTCTCCATGAGCAGACGAAGCGTCTGAATGCCAAGCTTCAGGAAATGCTTCGTCTGCTTGTGTCCCCATCCAGACCGCAACCATGATCTCCCCTTGGCCCCGCCGGTCCGTCAGTCGGTACCACTGCGCAGCCAACGGGCTGTCCGGCGGCACTCGTGTTGGAATCTCGTTCAAATCGAAAACCACTTTTCCAATATAATCATCTCGCCCGAACGTCTCTTTATCTTTTACATAAACTTCTAAAGTTGATGATTGAACACGGTCTTTCGAGAAGGCAAAGACTTGGTTCCACTCGGGGTTTGGTCTCTTCTCGAAATGCCTCGTTCGGCCTCGATAATTCCCGAGCTTGACCTCAACATATGGATCTGACCCAACAGGAAGGTCTTTGGCCTTCACAACACGAACATAAAGATGGTAAGTTTGTTCCACGAGATCATATGTGGTTGCCAATCGCTCACCGAGTTGTGGGCTTGTGTCTTTGAGCTTGTAGTCATCTTGTTGGAGAGGGGGAACTCCGGGAACGGGTTCATGGTTCATTTGACGATTTCTTAATCGGATCATTTTGGGGATTCTAAGTGTTTGTGTTGTGATTTGTGAGGTACGATGATATGATGGTTGGTCTTAAACTCTTAATTAAGACCATGAGAAGGGCCAGCAGCATCGTGGTTAATGTTCTTTTTGTTCATTCTTTGCTTGTTTGTGAAGTGACACCATGCATGCATGCATGCATGATGTGTTGATTACTACTACCTTTTGTGGGGGCAAGGTATAACACATATATACCTTTGCAGCAACTAGGTGTGTAGAAAACAAAAGAAATGACAATTAAACGAGACAATTAAAATATATGTTCCTACTTGCTATTATATTAATTTATGTTAAAATATAATCTCTGTTGGGTCTAGAAAACGAAAATGAGAGGAAACGAAACACTATCATTTCCAAACTTGATGATTCTATTCTAGTAAAGGCTAAAACAGTCTTTCTAACTACGGCACTTTTATCCAGGCACAAAGTACAACCTTAGCCAGAGAAGCAATGTTAATATGCTTTGCTTCATCACGAAGTGCTTTTAGATGACATTCTATTCTTGCTTAGACAGGAATGAATGTAAAAAAACTTTGGAAAAAGATTATACAACAAGTTAAAAGGACAAAGCAAAAGGACTCAATTATGGAGATGATGAATTCTTTTTACCAACTTTTTCGTATTCAATTTTGTGTTTATATATATCTTAAGATTGCATTTTGTATAAAGACTATGCTCGGCAACTGTTGTATTTTTGTTAAAAAACGAAATTTAGTTTACGAACTTTTATAGTATAAACAATGGATACAAATCTTAAACTTGATTGTGACGGTTTCATGGTTTATGCAATTGCTTTTTAGTTTTTACGCCAAGGGTGTGAGTGTGAGCTATCATCCTCCCCTTATTTTATTTTTTTTGTCTAGGGAAAACTGCAATAAAGACTCTACATATTGGCTTCATAATCGATTTAGTCATTATATATTTTTTTTATTCAATTAAGTCCCAAATACCGGTAATCGTATTCAATTTAACCCTTTGACCTGGTCAACAGGTCATCCAACTTTCAAAAATTACATTTTTGGCCCAGATTTCAAAATTTATTACAAATTTGGTCCAAAATTTACACTTTTGACCCAGATTTTAAATTTTGTTACAAATTTGGTCCAAACTTGACCCTTTTTGCCTAAATTTTAGAATTTTATTATGAATTCATCCTAACTTTAGTTTTTTTTACAACTTTTTTTCTCAAAAAAATGTTTCTAATATGTTTTTTCCTTATAAAATCATATTTATACAAAAAAAACGTATTTTCATATAAAAATCTTATATTTTCTATATAAAACCTTTTTTAAAAAAGTGTCTTGTATATGAAATATCTAGTTATAAAAATATGTATTTATTAAGTATATAAATATATACAAATCCGTTTTTATAAAAAAATGTATACAAAAACGTATTTTACAAAAAAAATGTATACAAACACCTATCACCTTTATATACACACACACACACACACACACATATATATATATATATATATATATATATATATATATATATATGCACACAAATAGGTGTGTATCTATAGTTTTTTTATAAAATCATGTTTGAATAATTTTTATATAATACGTGTTTGTATACATTTTATAAAATCGTGTTTGTGTACATTTTATAAAAACGTGTTTGAATAATTTTTTATATAATACGTGTTTGTATATATTTTATAAAATCGTGTTTGTATACGTTTTATAAAATGTATACAAAGATGTATTATATAAAAAATTATTCAAACATGTTTTTATAAAAAATAATGTAAACAAACACGGTTTTATATAAAATATGGATAAAATAGGTGTTTGTATACATTTTGTTTTTGTAAAATACGTTTTTCTATATATTTTTTTATAAAAACGGATTTGTATATATTTATATACTTAATAAATACCTATTTTTATAACTAGATATTTCATATACAAAAAAATTTTAAAAAAAAGTTTTTATTTAGAAAATATAAGATTTTTATGTGAAAATACGTTTTTTTTTGTATAAATATGATTTTATAAAGAAAAAACATATTAGAAACAATTATTCGAGAAAAAAAGTTGTAAGAAAAACTAAAGTTAGGATGAATTCATAATAAAATTCTAAAATTTGGGCAGAAAGGGTAAAGTTTGGACCAAATTTGTAATAAAATTTAAAATTTGGGCCAAAAGTGTAAAATTTGGACCAAATTTGTAATAAATTTTGAAATCTGGGCCAAAAATGTAATTTTTGAAAGTTGGATGTCCTGTTGACCGGGTCAAAGGGTTAAATTGAATACGATTACCTGTATTTGAGACTTAATTGAATAAAAAAAATATAGAGATTAAATCGATTATAAGGCCAATATGTAGTGACTTTATTGCAGTTTTTCCTTTTGTGTAACATATCATTTTTCTTCTTTCTCATCACCTTCTTGTGGC